ATCACATCTTTTAATATTTTTAGTTGCATTATCATTTCATTCATGATACTTGAGTAATTGTTAATACCAAAAAAAAAAATAATAATAATACTTGGGTAATTAGATCAAACTTATCATAATTTCTTCTTCTTTCTCTAGAAATTAGGGAGTATGAATTAATGGAAAGAGTTATCAATAGGAAAATTAATTAAGGATGATAAGTATAATATTTAAAAATAATAATAAAAAATAAAACAAACGGGTCAACCCGTCAACCCGCGGGATGACCCTAACCCGACCCGTGACCCGTACGGGTTAATAATACCAGTTATCTACGGGTTGCGGGTTGAGATATATAAACCCTAACCCGTTTTTTAAGGGTCGGGTTAGGGTCGGGTTAACGGGTCGGGTGGATTTTTGCCAGGTCTAGTTGTGATTCTTTTCTTCCTAAACATAAAATAAATAAAATTTTAAGCCGTTCTTTTCAATCGAAGAGGTCGTGTCCCCCAGTGGCAAAGCTGATCGAAAATGCCCTATAAGTCTTGTGTTCGAAGCTTGCAGGTGACAACTTTATGGGAAATTTTCCAAAAGGTTTAAACCGTCCGGTTGAACGGTTTAATGGTTTGTACCGGTTCGAACAGTTTTACTGGTTTTGAACGGTTCAATCACTATACCGATTTTGAACCTTAACCTGAGCCGTTTATTGTATCGGGTACCGGTCTGACCGGTTCAACCGACCGATCCAATTCGATTTTTAAAACATTGGCTAGCATTTATAAACCCCTACTAGCAGAGTCACTAATAACATGACTACATCGAAGACAAAACAGGCAAAAGTTAACAGAAAAACCATACTTTACACATCATTTCCAGATCATCAGGGCAGTTAAATAAACTTCAAGTAGGCATGCTCAATTCAATGGAAAACATAATAATTTCATTTCAAATCAGTCATGCTCATATTTGTATAAAACGGATTTAGTCCCGCCACCATTTCAAAAACAAGTTAAAATATGCTTTACAATCGAAGGGCGTTACCATAATTTACTTACTTTACTCGCATAAACTGAGGACTCAATCTCGGTGCTAAACTGACAGAATGATCAGTAACCTAATCAAAATACCCCAGAATTAATATCGTACTATCACAAATTTAAAGTGAAACTTCATTAGGATCACCCTTAATCACGATGCTATTTCTATTAGTCTTCATATGATCAAACATCTCCAAATTTATTCTTATATTACAAACTAAACATTTAATCCTCGTTAATTGTTGGCCATCAGTGCGTGAACAGTGCCCCGTAAACAGTGCTCATGAACAGTAACTGCACACCCATAAATTGGCAAAACAATGGCTAATTCACGGGATTTTTTTTCTCCAAAATCACAATAGCCCAAATCAAGCTAATTTACACTTAAACCAAGCCTAAAAACATAGCTTAAGCTACCGAAATTTCCCCATTTTTCAACAGATTTTCGGACAGCATAGGGCAGCAATTTAATAGACAAATTTTCAGCAACTAATCGGTAATTTGGGACTTAAATGGAGCTGCCACTTACCAAAATTTAGCAGCAAAAATCGGAGCTGCAGTTGGGGGAAGGCCGGCGGCAGTGCAGGGGAAAAATCAAGAATCTACCGAAAAATTGGGAGAACCAAGAGGATTTAGAGTAAACCCAAGCCAATTCAAGTAAAAAAGATGGATTAATGGTTGTTCTTACCCAAAAAAAAGCCCAGGAATTCACACACCCACTAGCAGCCAGCGGACAGAGGAGGAAAAGAAACTGCAGATCTGAAATTCCTTGCTTTATGGAGGGTTTCTAAGTCCTAATGCTTGTTATTTAACAAGAAAAGAAGGAGAAATTTCAAGCTTTGTCACCAATTTTCTCAAAGAAATGAGTCGATGGCTGGAGGGGCTTGGGGGGTGTCGGGGATGAAGAACAAGAGTAGAATTGGGCTGAAGAAGAAAGAGGAAAAGGAGAAAAAAAATAGCTGATCCTTATCCAAATCCTTTTCTCTTTTAAGTCCCTTAAGTTAGAA